TAGAACATTACTCCCGTTCGACTAGAGAACATCTCCAATGATAAAAATGGACAGTTGGAAATGTTTCTCCACTATTGTTAGTTTAGGATTTTACTGTTCTGCTCTTCAATCCTAACTTGAATCACGATTAAGATAATACCTTCAAGTGCATGGATTATTTCAGACAGGCACCTTCTGTACAAGGACTATGTGACATCATATTGAATTACAATCGAAAATTATAATAAGTTGGGTGTTGTGTAACCTCTGCCATAAGCTTTCACCTCACCTTTGGTATGAACAACGTGAGTGAAGCCTGGGAGAGGAGGAGGGGTTGGGTACTGTAATCTACCTAGCTGGTTTCTTTCATCACTGTCCAGAAATAAAGATGAGGTGAAGGGTAGATTGTCGGCTCATCTGCACATCTAGAAAAGACAAATATGTCAATCCATGGAAATGTATTGCATTATATTTCAGATTCTCTTCCTCTTTCATTTGCCAGTTTATGATGACTCCAGACTGACCTCCACATTAGCCTACTGTACAGTATTAACCACCAGCGTTACCACGGCTACCACACCAACACTGATGTCAACAATGGGTTTAAAATGGAACTGTCTACATGAGATCTGTGCAACTCGCAGTCTGGGCTGTGATCACCAGCTTGTTTCTACTGCACTTTCACACACACACACACACACACACACATACGCGCACACACACATGCACACACACGGACACATACGCGCACACACACATGCACACACACGGACACATGCACACATGCGCAAATGGACACACACACACTCCCTGTCATAGCATACGCACATACAAAAGCATACTCACCCACGCAAACTCAAATCTAACACATGACAATGGACCCAGAACTGTATCAATATGGCTTCTGTCCCCCTTTATGTGCAAACAAGCTCCGGTGTATTATAAAGTTCTAATGCTGTAGTCTACAGTTGACATCCCATAATAAGCGGGTGTAAACCTTTTCCCCTACTTTCATCTCAGTGAAGTTGACACTGTCACAGAGCGGGACTGACATCTGAAAATTACGGGGGAAAGGGTGTGTGTATGGCACCGTTCTGCTTAGGACAGTAATACCCGTCCCACCCCTCTCTCCCCCTCCACTCAACCTCTGATTCCAACAACTATTACTGGTCTGGAGGAGAGAGAGAGAGAGAGAGAGAAGGAGAGAGAAGAGAGAGAGAGATATAGAGTAGAGATAGCCGCTCTATATGATCAGCGATAGATATTCTCATCTCGCTCTCTCTCTCTGCTCGCTCTCGCTCTCTCTGCTCTCTAGCTCTCTTCTCTCTCTCTCTCTCTCTCTCTCCTCTCTCTCTATCTCTTCCCCTCATCCCCCACTCCAAATTCCTAAAAAGATATAGTGCTAGAGAGGAGTAGCTTATACAGGTCACCCAAAGGTCTTGTGAGCTCCTAGCTCAAGGAGTGACAAACAGACTCCTATGTCACTGTCCATTTGGCAGAGGAGGAACGTGATGTTTCTGGTCTCACTAATTTGGGACTCATTATCTGGAGTCTTCTTTCCTGGGTTTTCAGGAAGGATGAATTTGCCTTTAGACACTGATCTAAGTAAGGTCATTTGTATGTTGTTGCCCACCCTAATGCCTGAGGGGAACTTCACTGAAAGCATATTTTCTTCATTCATGTGTGTAGTGGTCTCTGTAGATAGAGCGTACTGCCCTCTGCAGGTCAGGTATGGGACATGTAGGGCGGGAGGGCTTGAGTTGAATGAGAGGTTAACAGCCTTATTGCCCATCAATAAACTGGAACACAATGTAATGAGGGAAAAATCTACCACATACATTTTATAAGTCGATTATACACTATATAAATCGATAACTACTTTTTGATAATGGCGCATTCAAGTCCACAAGAAAAACTACCCAATCAAAACGGGCTAAAAGAGGTCAGAGGATTCAATGGAACATGCTAAACATAGTTCTCATAAACCCTGAAACAAATTCAAAATATTAGATGTATCCAATTAATCAATCAAATCCAGACTTTTTCATACCACTAGCCTGTGATGGATAAAGTCTTGTCCACTGCCTCACACCAGTACTTGATTTCCTGTGAACATTCAGTTGAAAATGGACCAGAAGTCGTTAAACCATTGCAAAACACAACAAACTGTTTTGACCATGGTGTAATGGAACTGCTGGCAATAACTCATTATCTAATGGAGTGGGCTGGTGATTTCAGTAATAAAACCATTCAAACTGATTCATTCAGTAATTAACCGTTGCACTGTGACTCTATTGCCAAGGCTGAGGACATCCAATCAAATGAAATCAAATGTTATTTGCCACATGTGCCAAATACAACAGGTGTAGACCTTACAGTAAAATGCTTACTTACAAGCCCTTAAACAACAATGCAGTTTTAAGAAAAATAAGTGTTAATAAAAAAATAGATAACTAAAAAATTAAAATAACAAATAATTAAAGAGCAGCAGTAAAATAAAATAACAGTAGGGATGCTATATACAGGGGGTACCGGTACAGAGTCAATGTGCGGGGGCACAGGTTAGTCGAGGTAATTGAGGTAATATGTATGTACAAAAATAAGTAATATGTATGTAAAAAAATAAAAAAATAAAAAATTATGATATGTACATATGGGTAGAGTTAAAGTGACTATGCATAGACAATAAACAGAGTAGCAGCAGCGTAAAAGAGGGGGTGGGGTGGGGTGGGGTGGGGGGACAACGCAAATAGTCTGGGTAGCCATGATTAGCTGTTCAGGAGTCTTATAGCTTGGGGGTAGAAGCTGTTAAGAAGTTTTTTGGACCTAGACTTGGCGCTCCGGTACCACTTGCCGTGCGGTAGCAGAGAGAACAGTCTATGACTATGGTAGCTGGAGTAATTTTTAGGGCCTTCCTCTGACACCGCCTGGTATAGAGGTCCTGGATGGCAGGAAGCTTGGACCCAGTGATGTACTGGGCCGTACGCACTACCCTCTGTAGTGCCTTGCGGTCGGAGGCCGAGCAGTTGCCATACCAGGCAGCGATGCAACCAGTCAGGATGCTCTCGACTGTCTTGGTGTGTTCCACTACAGCCCCGTCGATGAGAATGGGGGCGTGCTCAGTCGTTTTTCTTTCCTGTAGTTCACAATCATCTCCTTTGTCTTAATCACGTTGAGGGAGAGGTTGTTATCCTGGCACCACACGGCCAGGTCTCTGACCTCCTCCCTATATATGAGCTCCTTGGGTTGTTGTCAAGGTTATGTTATAATCTACAGACCCTGTATCTCTGATGTCATCAGTGATTTGGGTATTATGAGGAGGTAATAAACCGGGCTTTCCACTCTCTCAGCTGTGTGCTATTACCTTTGATATCTCCCTCTCCCTCTCATCTCCCTCCCCCCTCTCCCTCTCCCTCTCCCCCCTCTCCCTCTCCCCCCTCTCCCTCTCCCCCTCTCTCTCTCTCTCTCTCTCTCTGTCTCTGTCTCTCTCTCTCTTTCTCTCTCTCTCTCTCTCTCTCTCTCTCTCTCTCTCTCAATTTCAATTCAAAGGGCTTTATTGTCATGGGAAACACGTTTACATAGCCAAAGCAAGTGAAATCGATAATAATCAAATGTGATATAAACAATAAAAAATGTACAAAAAACATTACACTCACAAAAGTTCCAAAGGAATAGAGACATTTCAAATGTCATATTATAGCTATATACAGTGTTGTAAAAATGTGCAAATAGTTATAGTACAAAAGGGAAAATAAATAAACATAAACGGGTTGTATTTACAGTGGTGTTTGTTCTTCGCTGGTTGCCCTTTTCTTGTGGCAACATGTCACAAATCTTGCTGCTGTGATGGTACACCGTAGTATTTCACCCAGTAGATATGGGAGTATATCAAAATTGGATTTGTTTTCAAATTCTTTTTGGGTCTGTGTAATCTGAGGGAAATATGTGTCTCTAATTTGGTCATACATTTGGCAGGAGGTTAGGAAGTGCAGCTCAGTTTCCATCTCATTTTGTGGGCAGTGTGCACATAGCCTCTCTTCTCTTGAGAGCCAGGTCTGCCTACAGCAGCCTTTCTCAATAGCAAAGCTAAACTCACTGTGTCTGTACATAGTCTCTCTCTCCCTCTCTCTCTCTCTCTTTGTTTTCTCATGATGTGGTTGGGTCTAATTGTGTTGCTGTCCTGAGGCTCTGTGGGGTCTGTTTGTGTTTGTGAACAGAGCCCCAGGACCAGCTTACTTAGGGGACTTCTCCAAGTTCATCTCTCTGTAGGTGATGGCTTTGTTATGGAAGGTTTGGGAATCGCTTCCTTTTAGGTGGTTGTAGAATTGAACGTCTCTTTTCTGATTTTGATAATTAGCGGGTATCGGCCTAATTCTGCTCTGCATGCATTATTTGGTGTTTTACGTTGTACACTGAGGATATCTCGATCGAGCTCACCCCCAACAAAGCGCGGGAAAGAGAGCAAAAAGAGATCAAGAGGCGAGAGGCAGAAAAGGAGAGAGACGAGAAGGAGCGAAAGCAGAACAGAGAGCGAAGCGAGAGAGGGAAAGAGAGTACAAAAGAGCGAAAGAGACGCGCGCGAATGCTGCCTTCCCTCAACGACCTCTGCCTCCTTCCCTCGCTCCCTCCTCTCCCTTCCTCTCTCTCTCCCTCCTCTCCCTCCCTCTCTCTCTCTCTTCCTCCCTGGGAAGCCAGCACAAAATAAAATATACGTCAAAATGTTTTCTTGTGATATTTCCACCGTCCTCCATTATTACATTGACATTTTAGTCATTTAGCAGACACTCTTATCCAGAGCGACTTACAGAAGCAATTAGGGTTAAGTACCTTGCTCAAGAGCACATCAACAGATTTTTCACCTAGTCGGCTCGGAGATTAGAACCAGCGACCTTTCGGTTACTGGCACAACGCTCTTAACCACTAACCTACCTGCCGCCCCATTATATTAGACTCCTGATTACACATTAACAGAGGAGACACAGTACCTGAAATCAACAGTCCTATGAATAGTCGGTTCTTCTGACCAAGGTAAAGTTGTGTCTTTATCTAGATGTGGACTTGTATAAAGTCCTCTCCCTGCTGCCCAGGTGACTGATTCGACAGCTGGAAGAGACAGTGAGTTGTGAGACCTGTTAGTAAAGGAGAGAGGGACATTGTTGATGATGATGCTGGGTCTGGGGTCTGTTGGATTGGTTCTGTTATCTCTGGCTGTCCAGAGTGGACATGGAGCCCAGGACAGGTGAGTCTGGGAGGGATACTGTAACTGTATAACGGTTAGTCTCCTATGAAGGATGACTTAACCAGTCAGACTAACAGGAATTTGATAAAAGATTCATACATCGGTAGCTGATTTATAACCATTTTATTACCGCCAAACAAATATGTATTCTTTCAATGTGCATATGTGTGTCAATTTACAGTGATGTCTGGAGTACAGAGGAGACAACTGAGAGGAATTACTACACCAGGTACCACAATATGTCGGATGTGAGTGAGAATACACACACACACACACACACACACACAAGACTACAAAGAATGACTGAGTCCTCACTGCATAGAGACACTGTCTGGTACCTCTCCCTATAGATTACAGCATGGATGGAACAGATGAAGAGGGAGAACCCAGATGTTGTGTCCTCCATGGTCTACGGTCAAACCTATGAGAGGAGGGACATCACCTTACTGAAGGTTATTCACCGAGCGAAAAGAGAGCAAGGAAGCGAAGAGAAGAGCAGCGAGCGAGCGAGAGCCGAGCAGAAGAGAGAGAGAGAGAGGAGAGATACAGAGAGGAGGAGAGAGAGCTCGGAGAGAGAAAGCAGAGACGAGAGAGCGAGAGAGAGATGAGAGAGAGAGAGAGAGAGAGATGAGAGAAGAGAGAAGCAGCAAAGCTAGTCGAGATAGAAATAGAATAGGACTAGATATGCTACTCTCTACATCTCTATCTCTAGAATAATCATATTCTCTCTCCTATTCTACGCTCTCTCCTCTCTCTCTCTCTTAGCTCATCTTCTCCTTCTCTCTCTCTCTCTCTCGCTCTCTCTCCTCTGCTACTTCCATTCACGTCTCAGATTCTGATAGCCAGAGGTGGCACATACCTGACCCTCTCTTGCTCGGGTCTCTGTCCTAATTACTGTACGATGTTCAGTGCACTGATCTCTAGGACTAACCAGTGGGATGATGGCTCTACCCTCGTCTATGACTAAAAGCTAGCTATCTTATTTCATTGTTGTGTGTGCAGATGTTTGGAAGTCTACTGGAGGAAAGGTTGGATGACATGGATCACCAGAAAACCCTCTTCTGATATGATAAAGAGTCTTAGTCGTATATTCTGTGTGTGTGTGTGTCCATTACAGTGAAAATATCCTTGTTTTTGTCAGTACTATGTCAAGGGGTGTGAGTACCAATCATGAAAACCTCCTCCTTGATTTCCACCTATAGATCTTGAGAACGTACAAAACCGACACCAAGGTGAATGAGATGATGAAAAATCTGGATTTCTACATCACACCAGTCCTAAATGTTGACGGCTACATCTACTCTTGGCATAATGCAAGTGTAAGTATTGATTAATGCTACTTCAGACCCATTTTGATACATTCTGGAAACTACGGGAAATCTTAGACGTGGCTTTAATTCAAACATATCTACCTCACAGTTAGTGTACATACAGCGCATAGTTCACAACGTCCAAGACATCATCTCACCCACCAGCCAGCTGTCTCTGGAGCAACTGAGCATGGGGAAGAGGTTTACCAGACATGACAATATGCTAAACTAGATTAACATGTAACAGCAGCGCCATCTATTGGCTTGGATTACATATTGTAACATAAATATTATTGATGACAGTATTATCATTCCAGTTAGTGACTAGTGGTTCTTATCTCTGTAGACTCGACTGTGGAGGAAGTCCAGATCTCCAGGAACAGGAGGCTGTACCTGCTATGGAACAGATCTCAATCGCAACTTCTACGCCAACTGGGGTAGTGAGTATGGTTCTTACTCTAAACAACTCACACACACCAGGGTTGGGGTCAATTCCATTGAATTCAGATAGTACACTGAAATTCCAATTCCCTTCAATGCTTTTCAATGAGGAACATTTCGAATTGGTATTTGGTTTACTTTCTGAATTGACTGGAACTGAGATGGAATTGACCTCAACCCTGACACACACACACCCTAACTGTGTTTTCCTCTCCTGTCTGTGTAGTGGTTGGTGTCTCAACAGATTGCTGCTCTCAGACCTACTGTGGCACCAAGGCTATCTCTGAGTCGGAGGCCCGGGCCGTCACAGACATGTTGGGGAAGATGAGGGAAGACATCCTGGCTTTCCTCACCATCCACTCCTATGGCCAGCTGCTCCTGGTCCCCTACGGACATCCCAACATCTCAGCACCAAACTACGATGAGCTGGTACGCCTGATCCACACACAAGTTGTGGCATGTTGTAGTAGACCAGTGTTTTTCAACTCTGCTTTTGGAGACCAACAGCGGTGCATTGTCTCTGACCCTAACAACGTATGTCTCTGTGTTGCCAGATGGAGGTGGGTCTGGGAGCAGCCAAGGCTATAAAGGCTGTCCATGGGATGGACTATACTGTAGGCACCTCACCTGATGTGCTGTGTAAGTAGTGAGGCTGAGGGAATATTCGGACTTCTAAATGGCTATAGTTACATGAATATCCTGTGCACTGTTTACAATTCAACAAATCTTTTCTTTCGCAACGGAGAGGCCGTCTTACTGTGTTTTTCTATTATTACAACCACTGGCCTATATTCTCTCTCCAGATGCAAACTCGGGATCGTCTCGTGACTTCGCCAGGCTGATCGGCATCCCGTTGTCTTTCACCTTTGAGCTGAGGGACAAGGGCGAGCACGGCTTCGAGCTCCCAGAGGACCAGATCCAGCCCACCTGTGAGGAGGCCTACGCCGGAGCACACCACATCATCACCTACGCACACGACAAGGCCTTCTACAGCTCTGCTGCCACCATCACGGCAACACTGTGGACCACACTGCTGGCAGCCTGGGTCTCTAGCGCCACCCTGCTGTAAACTGGGAGAACTGCAGGAGTCAGGCTAGGAGATGGTGGCAGTTTATCAGTATATTCAGAAATGAGACTTTGGACAAAAGTGATAAGCTGCCAGATAGACTATATTAATATGTTCACTCACTTATTTTATCAACTGTGTTTGGTTATTTATTTCTCTAAAATTCTGCTGTAAAAAATGTTAAACAATCGTTAATAGTGACAAAACACAAACACGTTTGTACAGTAGTATATTTTGAATGAACATTTCAGTGATATAAATATACTCAACTGCTATGAATTGTTGTCGTAACATCCTGCTTCTGTTATTGAGCCCCAGGAGTTCAGTGAAGGTACAGTTCAACATTAGATCAATCTCTGCTCCGGGTGAAAGATTTTACGGTTACCGAACTGTTTAACTTGATTAGATCCAGCAGCACCATTGTGTCCAGTTGCTCTAACCTCTGTCAAGTTTCACGTTTTTATTGTAACGTGCACACGTACAGTGAAATGGCTTTCCTGCTTGCTCTTTCCCAACAATGCAGTAATCAATATCAGTAGTACAATTTTTTTATTTTATCCAAAAGTTAAGTAGAACAAAAACACACTGTCCCCGGGTAGCTGAAGGTTAGGTTGACCCCATCGCCTGTCCATGCGTAGTTGAGGAGCATTAAAGGTGTTGCATGGTCAATCTGTTGTCTACATTGCCCGTGCAGCGTTTACTGTGATAAAGCCTCTGCAGAAGTCAGGGCATACATAGTCCTTGCACTTCGCGGAGCTGTTCTGAGGGAAGTTGTCAAGGAAGTGAGTTTGTGTTCACACAGGACCTCCCGCCCCCACCTACCGTCAACCAATCATGTTCATGCAGAACTATATGGCGCTATACGGAGCCCTCCGCACTGCTGCAACATTTGGGAGGAGCACAGTGATGCGGTTCAGAGCTGAATTTGGCCTCTGCATGCTTCCAGTCTCCACAATTTGCATCACACCCTCTACATGGAGCCTCTGAACACATTTTCGGATCAAGCATAAGTTGGCTTTTAATGTGTCTGAGATAATCACAGTCATGTGGCTAGTGAGTTCTGATCAAGGTAAAGGTGTGGCTTTAGATATTTATTTATTTCACCACTAGATCAGCTCCATTCTATCTTTATTTTATCTTTCTTGTAATGAGATAAGAGACAACAGTTTCTTACATCATGTCTTTATCTAGATGTGGACTTGTATAAAGTCCTCTCCCTGCTGCCCAGGTGACTGATTTGACAGCTGGAAGAGACAGTGAGTTGTGAGACCTGTTAGTAAAGGAGAGAGGGACATTGTTGATGATGATGCTGGGTCTGGGGTCTGTTGGATTGGTTCTGTTATCTCTGGCTGTCCAGAGTGGACATGGAGCCCAGGACAGGTGAGTCTGGGAGGGATACTGTAACTGTATAACGGTTAGTCTCCTATGAAGGATGACTTAACCAGTCAGACTAACAGGAATTTGATAAAAGATTCATACATCGGTAGCTGATTTATAACCATTTTATAACCGCCAAACCAAGATGTATTCGTTTCATGTGCATATGTGTGTGTCAATGTACAGTGCTATCTGGAGTAGAGAGGAGACGGCTGAGAGGAATTATTACACCAGGTACCACAATATGTCAGAGGTGAGAGTTCACACACACACACACACACACACACAGAAAGAATGACCGAGTCCTCACTGCATAGAGACACTGTGTGGTACCTCTCCCTATAGATTACAGCATGGATGGAACAGATGAAGAGGGAGAACCCAGATGTTGTGTCCTCCATGGTCTACGGTCAAACCTATGAGAGGAGGGACATCACCTTACTGAAGGTTCTTCACCTCTCTCTCTGCAATCACGGTCTTCAGAGTTCCTTTGCCCTGGCTAGGTCAATCTTACAGGGAAACCACTAAGTAGCTTTCATCACTAGTTTTCCTCTGCTTTGACTAGACCTAAGAGGCCAATGTATGCAGCTCAATAGAGATCTCCTGTTGGTTGTTGTGTTGCAGATTGGTTTGAGTTCTACTGGGAGGAAGAAGGCTATCTGGATGGACTGTGGGATCCACGCCAGAGAATGGATCGCTCCTGCTTTCTGCCAATACTTCGTTAAAGAGGTGTGTGTGTGTCTACTATCATAGAAATGAAATTAAAGAAAGAGCATGAAGCAGTACTGGTGAGAATCTCCTCCTTGATTTCTACCAACAGATCCTGAGAACGTACAAAACAGACACCAAGGTGAATGAGATGATGAAAAATCTGGATTTCTACATAACACCAGTCCTAAACGTTGACGGCTACATCTACTCTTGGCATAATGCAAGCGTAAGTGGTGATTAATTCTCCTTCAGACCAGCTTTGACACATTCTGGGAAACTACTGGAATATGACAAACTGTTTCTTTAATTGCGTCACACCTCTGCCAGGTGGTATCAGTACTACATAATCTACATTATACAACAGTTGGGTCTAATCCTGAATGCTGATTGGTTAAGAGAGTCCACAACAAACCTAGACACTGGTACAATACATGCAGAGTAGACTTTACAAGTAACAAGAGCGCCATCTATTGGCTTGGATTACATATTGTAACATAAATATTATTGATGACAGTATTATCATTCCAGTTAGTGACTAGTGGTTCTTATCTCTGTAGACTCGACTGTGGAGGAAGTCCAGATCTCCAGGAACAGGAGGCTGTACCTGCTATGGAACAGATCTCAATCGCAACTTCTACGCCAACTGGGGTAGTGAGTATGGTTCTTACTCTAAACAACTCACACACACCAGGGTTGGGGTCAATTCCATTTCAATTCCATTGAATTCAGATAGTACACTGAAATTCCAATTCCCTTCAATGCCTTTCAATGAGGAACATTTGGAATTTGGTTTATTCTCTGAATTGACTGGAACTGAGATGGAATTGACCCCAACCCTGACACACACACCCTAACTGTGTTTTCCTCTCCTGTCTTTGTAGTGGTTGGTGTCTCTACAGATTGCTGCAATCTGTTCTACTGTGGCACCAAGGCCCTCTCTGAGTCGGAGGCCCGGGCCGTCACTGACATGTTGGGGAAGATGAGGGAAGACATCCTGGCTTTCCTCACCATCCACTCCTATGGCCAGCAGCTCCTGGTGCCCTACGGACACCCTAACATCTCAGCACCCAACCATGATCAGCTGGTACGCCCGCCCCCAAAGATACGTTTTGTTGTAATAGACCAGTGTTTTAAAATGGGCCATCATTTTAACCATAATAATAACCTGCAGTATGTCTCTGTGTTGCCAGATGGAGGTGGGTCTGGGAGCAGCTACGGCTATAAAGGCTGTCCATGGGATGGACTATACAGTAGGCACCTCACCTGATATCCTGTGTAAGTAAGGCTGAGGGAACACAATGAATCACCAAACACTGGAGTGAGCAATGCCTGGTTCATCCCATGTTAAAGACCAACATCTATACTCAGACTCATGGCAATCCAATGGGAAGAGACTATACAACTACTGGCCTATAAAACTCTCTCTCTCTCTCTGTCTCCAGATCCCTTCTCGGGCTCATCTCAGGACTTTGCCAGGCTGATCGGCATCCCTTTGTCTTTCACCTTTGAGCTGAGGGACAAGGGTGAGCACGGCTTCGAGCTCCCAGAGGACCAGATCCAGCCCACCTGTGAGGAGGCCTACGCCGGAGCACACCACATCATCACCTACGCACACGACAAGGCCTTCTACAGCTCTGCTGCCACAGTCACGACAACACTGTGGACCACACTGCTGGCAGCCTGGGTCTCTAGCGCCACCCTGCTGTAAACTGGGAGAACTGCAGGAGTTAGACAAGACCCACTTATTTTGTCACGTGTGGTATGTTACTTGTTGTGTCTCTAAAACTCTAATGTAAAACTGTTAAATTATCATCTACATCTAATGTTACTTTTAATATTGACAAAACACATACAGGTTATTTGTAGTACAGTGTTTTGAATTAACATTTCAGTGATATAAATATACTCAATGATTTGTTGTCATAACTTCCTTCTTCTGTTAGAGCCATGAGTTGTCCCCTCATGAGTCCAGCAACGGTTGCCATGTTTACCCAATCAAAAGTGCTGATCAACATTAGTTCAACCGTTACCATGTATACCCAACTTCCTGACTTGATTAGGTCCAACAAAGCAGTTATAATGTATCGCCTCTCTCCTCTATCCCTGTGCCCTGCCCTTCTCTGTTTCTGGGTAGCTGCAGTGTTACGTGGCGTTGAACGGCTGAAAGCCCTGTTGTCTCAGGCAGGCCAGAGGCAGGAAGAGTTGGTCCTCTTGAGGAAACTGGTCCCACCGTGTCCATGTCCAACCTGGGACAGAGAGACAAGCAAACATTACTACATAAACTCAGATACAAATCATTAACTTGCCAGTGTAGTAAATAGTGCAGGCCAAATATAGTAATATCATTGGAATTCCTGGGAACCTAGGAGGCTGGGATAGCCCGGTTTCTCACCTTCATTTTTCTCTGGTTCGAGGTTGACTGGTTCTGCTGGGTAGCTCCTGTCCACTTCTCCTTGCATGATGATGGTGATGTAGTGGTACTGCTCCTCGAGCTTGATGGAGTTCACCACGGATGCGAACCTGACTTCTTTCAGGCGCACTCCTGCCTCTTCCATCACCTCCCTGTGTGCGCATTCTTCCCACGTCTCTCTTCAAATGAAAAAGACAACTATTGGTCAACTTTAATATTAACTGAATACCACACACTTGTTTACATTATGAAATACTTAGCTACTCACCCAAATTCTAGATGACCGCCAGGTAGCTGATACGTTCCTTTGCCCATTACACTTTTTCGCTTCCCTACGAGGACGCAGTTTGAGTGAGCTGAATCTGTGACAAGAACCCCTACTCCGACACCGGGGCGCTTGGGGGGTCTGCAGTTTTGTGTCATCTCTTCAAATCAGACCACAATAATTCAGGTAGTAAAACTATAAGCAAATAGCTATCGTTTCTGGCAACTCCACCACGGGATATGATTTTGCTGGCAGCACAGCTTCTCCTTAACAACGAACGGAACGAGCCGCGTTGTCACGTGAATATCACTTCCGGGACAGTTTTTTTTTGTTGCTTATCAGGCAAAGTTATCTAGCTGGCTTAGAAATGTAGATACATTAAACAATGCAGATGAAAATATGTATAAACAAACATGTATGCTATGATTCGATATCTATAACCGTCCCTTTATTGTCCTGATGTGATATTACAGCAAAATGTTATTTTGGAAGTGTAGGGCGACCAGCACAACAGATAGTCCATAGTGTAGCCAGAGACTGTTTATTATAGTTTTAGTACGTGTAGCCTACAACAATGGAACCACAGATTGTTCGCTGCTTTGCATCAGTCACATTTTTCAGAGCAAGCTACACCATTTTAGGTGGCCGCCGGCTAACAGAAACTGCATAACCTTAACAACTATGTGAACAATGAAAAAGTCTCACATTCCAATTTTTCTGAATTGATGGCAACATCAACACATAGCCTTATTAGGCTACACACAGTATACTAATAATGTTATGTATTTTGTGTGTGGCAGGCAGGCAGGCCTAAGATAATACTTGCTTGCTGTTCACTCGTTTTGACTAGAAGGAATACTGTTTGTCAGAATTCACCAGTATGGACTTTTCGTAGTAGGTTAGGATCATTAACGTAGCATGTTATGAGAATTAGGTTAAGGTTCTGAAAAAGGTTAGGGTTAGCTAAAATGCAAAATAAAAATCTACTTGTGTCGTCAATTTGACATAAACTGTATCCCATCTAGCCAGGACACTGTTCACCGAGCTCAAAAACACTTCCTATCTGCTGTTTTCCCACAACGTTTTAATTCCCGCGCTTTGGCAATATTTTGTAATGACATCATCGAAATAACGAGGGAAACGCCCATTTCATTTTACACGCGGGTGCGCCGAGAAAATTGACCAATCGCTTCGTGGTAATATTTTCACTGTCCAATAAGAACAACACATATACCAAGCACCTATCATCTACGTTTATCCCTATAGATCTAACCAATCTACGAAGGGTAGCGTTGATAATAGAGGCCAATCAGGACCTGTGGTGTTTCGTGTCCGGTGCAGCAAGGGGTCGCAACGCCTGCCGGCTTTCCTTTCCGCGGTCTCGCTTGGCTGAGCTCTTTCTGGATCTCACTGCAATGGCGGAGCAGCAGCAGTTCTACAGCTTGCTGGGCAACCTGATGAGCCCTGACAACGACATCAGGAAACAGTCCGAGGTATGCTCTCAAAATATACTGTGTAGGACGATAGCACGACAGTTGATAACAACGCGTTGAGGCTACACGCTAGAACTAGTCAATTTGCGATTAGCCCAGCCCACGTGTGAAGCCGAAGTGGACTAGTCTGCAGCTAACTAGTTGGCTAACAAATGTAGCATGGGAAAATAGCTAAATTAATATAAGCAAGCCTGGAAGGCTTCTTAAAAAAATAGTTGAAAGACCCTTCTGTAGCTAGCTAACACGACAGTCTCGCTCATTTGGATTGAACTCATTAGCTAGTTACATAGCTAACAAGTTTAATTATAGACTCATTGATATGCACATCACGTCGGTTAGCTAGCTGCTACTAGTTTAAGTACTTTTTTTTTTTTTTTTTTAGGTAGTTAGCTATCTTTGTTCCGCACCTGAAGAGTTAAGAAATCTACCGAAGTAGCTAGCTAATAACGGCAACGTTAATCGACAAGTTAAAATATTATTTGGGCCCCAGTAGGAAATGTAGCTAACGTTAGCTAGTTAGTCAACTACCGGTACTAGCAATGTTGCAAAACATTTTATAGACCGAAGCTACAAACAACTGTTAGTTAGCTCGCTTACTCGCTAGGTAATGTCAGCTGGTGTGACGATGCATCACTTTAGTTACGAGGTGGCTAACAATCTAGTTAGCTATACAGGCGTTATACGCGCTAGCTAATCTACAACTATAAAATACTAAAAAGCTAGTTACAATTTAACCAGAAGTGCATAATTCATTAGGCCAATCAGGACCTGTGGGCTTTTTGTGTCAGGTGCGAGGGGTCGTAACTAGGTCGTTATCTAACACTGTAGCTAACTAGCTAGCTTGGTAAGTATGCATCTTTCATGTGAGCACGCCTGTATTAGAATGAGTGTAATCCACACATCTAACTGGTCAGTTGTGTAGCTAGTTAGTCTGAGACCAGGCTATCCATAAAGATTACTATCACTGACACTATCTACCAGGATTAGCAGCTAACGTTAATTATCTTGTTTCCCACTGTGATTATAAATACGTATCCGTGATAAAGCCGAGCTCGAATCCCGTAGCGCATTGTTATGGACGGTCTCTTCATCAGGGCTCTGACACTGCATTCAAGTTTAACTATTGAATGTTATCGCACTCATCCCCCACCAGCGGTCAGCACTTTCCTTTATGAAAGACAATGAGTGTCTGCAGCAATGATTAAGCTCATCGGAATCCTTTAGTCACACAGAGAGAACGTCATGATGACCAGGATTCTATCTACTGTCCTACTGGGCAGCAGGGATAGAATAAAACAACTTTTAGATTCAATGGGTTCATTTTTAATATTGTTTTTGGTCAATGTTATGGGAATTGTCACCTGCTGCGAAGATGCTCAGCGCAAGACATAATCAGTCATTAACCTAAAACTTTATATAGTACAAAGAAATCCAAACCAGTATACATCCTGTGGTGGGCTTAAGTGGTCTTAATTGCTGAATCTGTTAAGAGGTTCATGGTGCAGAAACCAATTATCCAGCAACAGCCCCCCCAAACATTCCTGTCATAGTGTTAATAACCAGATGTCAGACAGGTGCTGCATTAGACAAACAACTAATGAGTAGCTTCTAGTTAGAATGACAATTCATTTTACTCTAACTTCTTTTGCCCTAAGGAAGATTTTTATAGATAACACCAATTTCCATCTATGATCCCCCACGCACCTCCATTATCAGGTCAATCGCTTTCAGGAGAACACGTTAATGCTTCTTCTAACTGACTCATTCTCTCTCTTTGCAGGAAGCTTATGACACCATCCCCGGTCAGACAAAGATCACATTTTTGCTGCAGGCCATCAGAGATGCAGACTGTGCAGAAGAGGTTTGTTACATTTTAGTCATTTAGCAGACACTCTTATCCAAAGCGACTTAGAGGAGCAATTCGGGTTAAGCGCTTTGCTCAAGGGAACATTGACAGATTTCTCTTTGTCCGCTCAGGGATTTCAACCAGCGACCTTCCGGTTACTGGCCCAACGCTCTAACCGCTAGGCTACTTGCCGCCCATTGTTGACTCTTAAAGATGAACATTGTCTCTGAGGGGGGAGAATGAGTTCATGTAAACAAGTCTTGTAAGGACATTAGTCACAAGACAGAGCTGTGTCACAGTACTTTTCTAGCCAAATTCTTATTGCGTAATACCGTTGTCGGGCAGCATCCATTCTATCTTAGGAATTCTGTGTAGTCATTTCAGCTTCCGAGAGTATTCCTCTTGCATTGCATCAGCTCAAATACCCCAAATTGTTTGATGTGATAACACCAACCTGCACAGTAATAATTTAGACCTATTGCCGATGACAACTCATACCTGGCAGTTGTCACATCACTTTGGTCATGCTCCCCTGCTCAGACATTGCTGACAAATGCCAGATCTAACAGCGCCTGGATTGGTATTTTATGTATCAGCTAACCCCACATAAGTTATAGAAATATGTTTCCTGACTGCACAGTCGATGTGGCACGCAACCATTGGTTGATGGATGCAACGTGGCACACAACAATTGGTTGATGCATGCAACGTCTGAGCAGGGGAACATGACCAGTGTGACAGTCATGTTTGAGTGTCAGTGAGTCGTCCTCTTGACATTTTATTCAGGTTAGGTTGTGATTGCTCAGCTGCATCCGTTAGCTGTCTCTCTAGGCCCCTCTGGCTGCATCCCAAATGACACCCTATTCCCTATATAGTGCACTACTTTTGACGGTGGGCACTTGTTAAAAGTAGTGCATTGAATGGGCTGTGCGGCCTGGCCCTCCGTGCCCCTCTCTCTGATGACAGTATTTATAGAGCGGTGAAATGGGAACTCTACCAGGAACACCATACCTCTGTTGCCTACTTGAAACGTTTAGATCTTTGTTTCAGATAGCTATGTTTTGCACAAGGGGATGTCATTGTCTCAATGTCAGACGACTTGTGTCCATGTATTGTTTTTCAAATAGTCCCTTTGTGATATCTACATGGCAGGGTTAAGGACAGGGGGTTGGCAAGGGAGACTCATTATGGCGCACCTTTGACCGAACAAAACTGTGGACTTTAATTGTGCTAAACTTGTTGATTGATCAAATGGAGCCGTTGACCTCTGGTGTAACCATTCAATGTTTCCCCCTCCCCCAGGTCAAGACGATGGCGGCGGTGCTGCTGCGTCGGCTGCTGTCGTCCTCCTTCGAGGAGATCTACCCCGGCCTGACGGTGGACATGCAGACGGCCATCAAGACAGAGCTGGTCACAAGCATCCAGACAGAGGCCTCGCCCAACATCCGCAAGAAGGTCGCCGACATCGCTGCAGAGCTCTGCCGCAACCTCCTAGGTAGGTTAGGGGACAGCTGAGGGGGATCTACAGTTGAACTGTTGGACCATGCACAACCTTTATTTTTTATTTTTATATAAACTTTTTAAAACTATGAGACACTTTAGCTGTGTCCTCTTGGAGATTGATCTTGACAGCTCGATAAGCTCAGTGGTGTATACTAGATTCTCTCACTGTCTTTACATGGTTCCTGTAGATGATGATGGAAACAACCAGTGGCCAGAACTGCTCAAGTTCCTGTTTGACTCGGTCAACTCTGACAACGTTGGCCTGAGAGAGGCTGCCCTGCATATATTCTGGTGAGAAACCCAACCCGTTACCCTCCTAAGACTTCATGATTTGTTGATCTGTGTTCTTCTAGGATGAAGTGAGTATAGCCTATGCAGCCTTTGTCATAAAACTCACTGTTCTCTCTGGTTTTCCTCTGTAGGAACTTCCCAGGTATCTTTGGCAACCAGC